CTTCCCTGAGGGGCCATTTGGGGCCTCCTTTTGAGGTCAGTTAGGGTTTCCACTGGAGGCCATTTGACGCCTTCTGCTAGAGAGGCCTGTAGAGAGTGCTACCTGGAGCAGAGCAGGGCAGGCCTGTGGAGAGTGGAGAAGCCTGCAAAGGAGGAGGAAAAGCCTTTCCCGTTGGAGGTTCGGGGCCATGGAGCTTTGGAGGTCTGAGGTTTGGAGTTTTGCAGAGTGGCTATTTGGTAGATTGCTACCAACTAAGAAAGGTCAGGGATTCAGGACTGTCTATTGGAGGCTTGAAGGTTTGGTGGTTGAGGCTGCTCTTGGTTCTGGGTACATAGCCCAGAACAAGGTAAGCTTAAGATCCTTTTTTTTTTCTTTTCTATGGCTGAGAACTGAACCCAGGGCCTTGCGTGCGCCAGGCGGCTGCCCTTCTGCTGGGCTAAACCCCCAGCCCCTGCTTTTCTGGTGTAAATAATGTAAATAAACTTTTGTCCACCTTTCATTGTCTGTGCCTCCATTGATTGTCTCACCCTCCGGAGGTCAATAGTGAATCTATTGTATTTCAGTTAATTCATTTCAATACACTTGCATACCAACCACCCAAGCTTTTACTTTAAAAACTATTTCTAATTTCCATACATAAAGGAAAACCTTCATCCATTGTTTCTCTGGGCCTGACTTACTTCATTTAGTATACATTTTTCCAGTTTTCCCATCTCATTACAAATGGTACATCATTCATTCTTATGGATGGACAAAACCCATTGTATATGTAGGCCACATTCTTGATCATTTTATCCATTGAGGGCATCTGGGCAAATTTCAGACCTCGGTTATAGTGAATAGGAATTCAGTGAACATTGTTGTGCTGGTAGCATGATTATATCCCAATTTTTAATCTATTGGGTAAGTGCCCACGATTGGAATTGCTAAATAATAGGGTAGTTCTGTGTTCAATGTTTGTTGTGGTTCATGTGTTTGAGCCATAGTGCCACTTCTGGTTTTGTAGTGGTTCATTGGAGATAAGAGTCTCTTGGACTTTGCTGCCTGGGCTGGCTTTAAACCACGATGCTTAATTCTCAGTCTCCTGAGAGCTAAGATGTCAAGTATGAGCCACCAAAGAGTGGCTACGTTTAACTTCTTGAGGAATGATAATAATTGAGGAATAATGGTTTTTGAAGTACTCAAAATTGTTATTTTGTTGTTGTTGTTCTTACTGTGGATTTGCCAATTTTCTTTCCTACCACCAGAGGGCAGATATTTGCTTTATTCCCTTCATCAGACCTTGCTACTTTGTGCTATCCCTTCAGTCAAGCACCATGTTTAGTCTTTTGAGGAATCTCCTTATTGCTTTCCAGAGTGTTTTTACAAGTTTAAATTCCCACCAGCTGTGTAGTAGTGTTCTCTTTTGGCCACATCCACTCCAGCATCTGTTGTTATTAGATTTCTTGATTACAGCCATTCTAACAGATGAGGTAGAATATGAATATTGTTTTGATTTGCATTTCTTTGATGGCCAGAAAAGTTGAGCATTTCTTCATGTATCTATTGGCCATTCTTATTTCCTCTTCAGAGAATGTTAATGAGGTGATTGTTTCTTTGAGGATTTGTTTTGGGGGATTTAATTTTTTTAGTTCTAAGTGTATTTTATTTATGAAGCCCTTGTCTGTTGTATAGCAAGTGAAGTTTTCTTCTCCTATCTGTGGGCTTTTCTATTGATCTAGCTAGCTTTGTCCTCTCCCATGAAATTCTGTAAGTTAATGCAGTCCCATTTTTTTCATTGATTACTTTGCTTTACTTTTTTTCAACAGTTTAGCCAGTTTCAGCATCTACATTCACCCTCCTCCCTCCACTTAGTGCCTCCCAATGACGGCCCCTCATTTACATTCATATTACTCATTTGAAGTATATAATAACTCTCCAAAGAGCTCTCACTGTGCTGTCATTCATGGATATGTTATACTTTCACTGGACTCATACATTACTCTTTCCTCATCTCTTCTACCTTCCAGCTTTCACTTAGTTATCCCATATTCATGCATATATATCATGTAGATTGATATTATTCACCCTTTGCAATTATTTTTTTCTCTCTTCCCCTTCCAATGGTACTATGATTACATGTAAATTTGTGTATGCACAGTATGTACTTATGTGTATGTTTAGGCCTAGCTGTCCAATATGATGAAAAACCTGTGTCCTTTGTCCTACTGAGCTTGCCCCTCACTGCAAATGAGGCTTTGCATATCCACTCATTTTCCTCCCTATGTCCAAAATCTCATTTTTCCTGGAGGCTAAGTGTTAGGGGTGACCCAATCAGGATATACCTAAATAGACATATTTACTTGAAACCTCATTACAGTTATTAACTTATTTATTTTATTGTAAAGGTGCTATACAAATAGGTTGCAGTTATGTGAGTAAGGTAATAAGTTTATTTTCTGTCGAATATTGTTATCCATTTCTTCATTATCCATTCCTCCATTATCCCTTCTCTCCCCCATGCCTCCTTCCCCCCCGCCACTGCCCAGTAAAATTTTAAAGGTCATTTCCAACTTAGTGTTTTGTAAGTATCATTGTTGCATTGGGTCACCCTTTGTTCTTGTTTCAGCATTTTGTTATTCCTTACATTCTCCAAATCAGATAAATGTATATAGAACACAAAGGATATCAGAATCAAACACAGAGATTGAGTAATTGTCTGTTCTTTCTCTGTAATGTCTCAGAGGTTCGACCTTCTGCGTGGTCTAGCCTACACTCAGGACATTCTACTTTTTTTCCCCTTCCTTCTAATGTGTCCATTTTGATCTCTTGAATTCCTTTGTTGAAGCTTTGTTTTAGATCATGTATGGAGTTCTTTACCTCCTTGATTTAGTTTTCAGTGTTCACTCTCAAATCTGTTAGTTGAGTGGCTGTAGTTACATCTAAGGGAAAAAGTGTTGTATAAGATTACTGAAAGTGTAACTCAGGAAAATTTAGCAAGGATTACAAAATTCTATGTAAAAATCACTGAAATCACATATTCTTCCAACAATTCTGCATTGTACTCAATAATATAAAAATCAACTGTATTAATGAAATTCCTTAAAAAAATAAAGAAGATAGTGAAAACCTCAATAGAAACTGGTATTTTCATTATAATATTGATTAGCATATGGTGGAAGTTGAAAATTAATTACATTTTCATTTGTTAAACATCATGCCCTCAACTAAAGAACAAGCACAAAACATTTTTCCAAATATTGTTATATTGTCAACAAGAGATTTAATTTATAGAAAGATACAGTAAGTTACATAGCCATGTATTTATTAGAAATATAAATGTGAGAAGATGTTTGAAGTCACCCTGGGGAGGAAAGTGTATGAAACTCTTATTTTCAGTAAGAGGCCAAAGAGCTAGAAGTGAAACTGTGGTTCATGTGGTAAAGAAGCATTGAGTGAAAAAGGTAAAGGACAGTATATGTCCTTATTACAAGTATGCATAAATAAATTGAATTATTATCAGAAGAAATATATAAATAACTCTTGAACAGACAAGAAATGGGTGCAATTGTGTCTATATCTCTTAAAAATGTAATTCTGTAAGCATAGAGTAGAGCCCACTAAATCAACCTATTTGAAACAATAAGTTTCCTTATCAAGAGTCCTGAAATGTGAAAATAAAAAAAAATCCTGTTTAACAAACTGTAAGAAGTGAAAATATTACAAGAAATAACATTCTGTGTTTAATATTCAAAACTCTGTGTCAAATTAACAAAGAGAAACTATCAACCATAAAATAAAAATATATCCAGGCAAGAAGGGGCTTACTATTATGGATGGGGGGGGACTTTAATCTTAGGAGAAAACTCAAAAAATCTTATACATTGTAATCTTAAATCAAAGTGTATGTTTTTGTAACACACCTAATCATTCTTAAGTTATAGGAGGGAAGCAGTATGAGATGAAAGAGGAAGATAAAGAAGGAGATAGAGTTAAATAGAAAGAGAGACTGGGACAGAGAGAAAAGTCCCATTAAAGAGACTCAGGATAATTTCAAAAAGTGTCATAGTGAGTAGAAATGTACAAATATTGAACAAAAGAAAATCTGAGGACATTAAAAGATGTAAATTTATGAAGGGGAAATATTAATTAAATGGTTTTGAGGACTCTATAGCATTGTGGTGTGCACACAGGAAGTTAACGTACAGAAAAATTTAGAGGAGTTATTGAGAAAGACAACAGATAAACTTACCTGAAAAGCAGAAAAGATCAAAAGCTATGTACATATGACCAAATAAGATGATGCTAAATGAAATGAACCACAAGATAGGGACACAAGAGGTTTTATCTTTTTAGCTGTTGTTTTTAATGTGCAGTGTTTTTTTGTTTCTTTTGTATATTCATCCCCCATGATATAACCCCTGCTTCATTGTATTTGATTCCAGTGCCCTCCATCTTGTATATACATTTTTCTAATTTGAGGAGTGGAAGGGAAATACCAAAATGCTGAAACAAGGATACAGTTTGACCCATTGTAACAATGAGATGTACAAGACAATATGTTAAAAATGAACTTTACAACTTGGTGTTTAGGGAGGAGTTGAGGAGGTGGAGAGAGAAAGAAGTACAGGAAAACAAAAGAGGGGGTAAGGATGTTTGATAAGAAAAGTACTCATTACATTACTCATGTAACTGTAACACCTCTGTACAGTATCTTTACAATTATATATATATATATATATATATATATGCATATATATAAAGACAACATAGAAAAGATTTCAGGAAGAGGGATAAGATAATTAAGTGCAGATTAAATAGGAAGAAGCAAAAATATGGAAGCAAAATTCCACTTTAAATTGGAATCACCATCACATGTGATTGTCATTACTAGGAAAATTCACACTAGAACCTTAGTCTCTGAAGTAAAAATTCTATAATACAAACTATGAAAAGAAGAGATAATTACTGTAAATTTAGATCAGACCTTCTGTTTACTAACCAAACCTATGGGTTTAATCTTAAGAATGACTATTTCTACTACTATGTCTTTTATCCCTGAAACCATGGAGAGACTTTCTATTTGGCATTAACAAGATGATGTAACACTTTGGAACAAAAATGCAGCCTAGGAGCCCTGCACTAGAGGCCAAGATGGAGAAGACCTCCACGGCCACCATGACCTTCCCCTTGGCACTGTGATAGACAGGAAGGAAGGTGAGCCACACACTGCAGAACACCAGCATGCTGAAGGTTAGGAACTTGGCTTCATTGAAGGTGTCAGGTAGATTCCTGGCCAGAAAAGCCACAGTGAAACTAGCCAGGGCCAGGGAGCCCAGGTATCCCAGGACACAGTAGAAGGCAGTGAGGGAGCCCTTGTTGCACAGAATGATAATATGGCCATGTTCAGAATGTGCATCTGTGTCCACAAAGGGAGGAGAGCTTCCCAGCCAGAATCCACAGAGAGTCACTTGGATCAAGGTACAAATGGGGATGATGAAGTTAGGAGCCCCTGATATCAGCAGCCACCTCATCCTTCTTCCTGGGGAAGTGGCCTTAAATGCCAGGACCACAGTCACAGTTTTGGCCAACACTGTGGAAACAGCCACAGTGAACACAACCCCAAATGTGATCTCCTGTAGGATGCAGGTGACTGTGTTGGGATGGCCAAGAAAGAGCAAGGAACAGAGGAAACAGAAGATAAGGGAGATGAGCAAGATGTAGCTGAGAACCCTGTTATTGGCCTTGACAATGGCAGTGTCTTGGTATTTCAAAAACATTCCAAGAACAGCAGCAGTTAGCAAGGTGAAGAAAAGAGCCATGCAGTCCAGAGCCATGCCCAAGGGATCTCCAAAAGCCAGGAAACTTGCAGTTTTCAGGAGGCACTGAGTCCTGTGTGTGTTGGCATACTGAAGATCTGGACATTTCACACATTGCTCCATATCTGCTGAGACATGTACACTACCATTACTTCTTTTTATGAGCCTTGTTTGCTTCAAATAATTTAGGAAAATTTTCACTTCGGTGAAATCCTCAGAAGTCAGCATTTACTATTAGAAAGAACAGTATTTTTTCTCCCCCAAGCCATAACTGCTTCCCAGTTTTATCTTCTTTATTCCAGCTTTTTTATTCAATATTTTTTGCTCAATGACTATCACATGTATTGATAATGTAACAGTTGGGTTTTTGCTATATGTTATTGAAATTTTTAATTTTTTTTCTCATGCTCATTAAGAGTCTTGCAGTTGTATTATAATTGGAATTATACAGCTTACATTGCCCTATAGGTTTCAGAAAGGCATTAAATTTACCTTCTGATATATTATCCTTGATATCATCTCATTATGCTCACTTGCTCACATGGGAAGTTGTAGCAACAGATTTATAAATAATTTTTAAAATATTTTTCATTGTAGGTCTCCTTGGCACAGGCCAAAATCTTCTTAATAGAGACCCAGAAACACAACAAATCAAAGAAAGGTTGGACAAATGGAATTGCATGAAATTGCAAAGCTTCTGCATGGCAAAGGACATAGCTAGCCAGATCAATAGAAAGCCCACAGATTGGAGAAGATCTTCACTAGCCATATAATGGACAAGGATCTCATATCTAAAATATACCTGGAACTCAAAAAATTAAATCCGAGAGGATCCGGGAAGATGGCGGAGTAGAAGCTGGAGTTATAACAAGCTCTCGCATAGAAAGCAGTTTTAGAGTTCCAGTGAACAGTTCTAAGCCAAAGAGTCACACCAAATGTGCCATCACAGAACAGAGAGACAGGCCAGAGAGGGAAAATCCAGGCAAGGAGACAGACCTGAGCTCTTGCCAGCAGCCATACTGCCATATCTGAAACAGAGAGAGTCCAGAATGAAAGAGCCAGACGCTGTGGGCGAGCGGATTCTACTCAACACCAGCAAGAACTGACAAGGAGCAGACATCTTCATCCTGCAGTTCGCAGACCAGAGATGACCCAGGAACCAAGACTCCACGTGAGTAGAAGCCTGATGTCCTCACTCCTTCTTAGGGAGCAGAGGAGGGAAGGCCAACCCTCACCCCCCAGCACCGGTGATCTCCATCTTGGATACCGACAAAGCTCGGCGGAGCTGCTAGCTCCAACTCAGGCCTTGGAATAAAAGGAGTCATTTAGCAGGTCACAAGAACTTAACGGAAGCGTGACCTGCCAGAATCAGCTCCACCCAGGGAAAAGTCACCAAGTTCCGGCGCCAGCCCTAGGAGTGACTTTCTAAATCCGGTAATCAGAACCAGAGGCTGCCCCTCCCTTTAGCAGCCTCAACAATCAATTGAAATTCAGTAAACAGAAACCCTGAGAGGGGCTCCAGGCTGGGCTCTGTGAGTTTCTTACAAACTAGCCCTTGGGAAAAGCTACAGTTTGCTGAAAGGCCTCAACTCTACCCAGAACCTAGCCTCATCACAGCATCTCCAAACTTGAGGAAAAAGCCATCTCCCTCTTTTGTGATACTCAAAGCACACCCCCCTCCCATTGAACTAACTTGGTAGGAGGATCGAAAAATCGTGGGTAAAGCAGAGGATTTTTCTGCCTGTCCAAACAAACTGACTTAAGAAACCAACCAAGTCACAGGACCACAAGCAGACCAGAGACTCCAACCAGAGGCTGATTACAGACACAAGGGAGATACAGGATTTTTCCCAACCCTCCCCCAAAAAATCAAAGAACTTTTTTTTCCTGTTCTTTTTTTTATACCTTTTACAAAATTTTTTTCTTTTCTAAAACTTTTTTTAATTTTTACCATTTTTGAAAAAAATTGTTTTCTAGTAACTTTTTCCCCCTTATAATCTTTATTTTAGGGATAAATTCATGTGTGCGTTTTTCTTTCTTTTTTTTGTAAAAAATTTTTTTCTTTTTGTTTTTTGCTTAGCTAGACTGAACATCTGATTTTTTTCTTCTTTATCCTTCTCACCTTTTCCTCTCTTTTGTTCTTCTTTATGGGACTTAATTGTTGTTCTGCACATCCTCAGATAAACCCATAGTTGACTATTAGACCCTATCCCCCATTGTGTACAGACTTAATCCACAAATTTATTACTCAATTCAAAACTTCTGAGACTTAAATTCCTTAATAGCAGTACTACCTCTTTATACCTATATAATATTTTAAGTATTTTTATTTTTAAGTTTTTCACATCTCCTTTAGATCCCACCCCTTCTCTCAATATATTCACGTTCTTTGAATGGATTGTTCTTGAATCTGCATATTATTAACTTTTATTTTTCTATTTTTTCTGGTGTCTTTTTTTTTCCTTTCTCTTTCTTCTTGTTTTCTCTCTCTCTACTTTCATCCTATCTAACCCATTTCCTGCTTTGAGACTAGGACTTAGTTAAGTTAACTCTCCCTGTACCTTCCCACATCACTCTATTCCTATTTTTTACCCACATCTCCCCCTAACCCTAATAATTTCTGGTTTACCAAATTCTATTTTGCAGTTCGTAGCCCATTAATATATAGTTGTTTGATTTTGAATAGAGGTATATGCTGAACTAGATTGCATCTGCAGACTATTGACTGTGCAAATTCACACTTTGGTTGATTGATGCTTGCCTTAAGTTAGTGTTCTAGCACAAAACTGGTGTTACTTTCATCCCAAATGGGCACAATAAGCCGGAAAACCACAAGAAAAATGGCAAAACAGGGTAACTCCACTCCCACTCATGATTATCAGGGGACAGACAGATAATGAATAATCCAGAGGAAAGTTCCCAAATAGCTCTAAAAACACTACAGGCAAACAAGATAAAAGAAAAGATTGAAAATATACGAAGAACTCTGTATGAGCATGATAGGGAGAGAGAGGAAGCAATCCAAAGGTTTATACAGGAATATCACGAGTGTGAGGAAGCTACTCAAAAACTGATACAGGATTTGCTTGAGCACCTTGAGAATACTCAAAGACAAAGGCAGGAATGGCATGAACAGGCTGAGAACACGCAAAGAGAACTACAAGAATGGCATGAATGGGAGGAAGCTAAGCAAAGAGTAATACAGGAATTGAGAGAGCAGGATGAGAATACACAAAGATCACTAAAGGCATTCATGGAATCCATTAACAAAGAGCTGAAGAAAGTCAGGGAAACCACAAAGGGAATCCTGAATGGAACCCAACAGAAGGAATGGGAGTCCAAGTGATTTGAGAATAAAAACTGAACACCAAATTAAGGAAGTAAAGAAATACATACAAGACCTAAAACAGAGCTTCAACAAAGAACTTGAAGCCATCAAAGCTGACCAATTAAAAGGAAAAGAAATCAAAAACAAAGTAGAAAGTCTTGACAGCAGGTTAGACCTTGCAGATGATCGAATCTCGGGGATTGAAGATAGCCTAGATATTATAAAGAAAGAACATACAACCATCCAAGACAAGTCCAAGAAATATGATAGATCTATCCAAAACTTGGAAGACACCATCAGAAGGCCGAATCTAAGGATAATGAGTGTAGAGGAGCACTTAGAAACAGAAGCTAATGGCCTAGGGAATTTGTTTAACAGGATCCTAGCAGAGAACTTCCCAAACATGCAAAAAGATAGGCCTATTCAGATACAAGAAGGTTTTAGAACTCCAAGTAGACCAGATCAGAATAGGACATCCCACAGTCACATTATAATCCACACAGGATCAAATCAGACCAAGGAAAAGATCCTTAAAGCTGTCAAGGAGAAAAGATTAATCACCTATAAAGGGAAACCAATTAGAATCACCTCAGATTTCTCAGCAGAGACAATCAAAGCAAGAAGAGCCTGGAACGATGTATGCCAAGCCCTAAAAACAAA